CCCCAAAACCCCAAAACCCCAAAACCCCTTTATGACTACTAGGATTTGAATATTAAATCACCATATTGTCAACAAGGTAACTACAAAATTCTGCTTTATGGCTACTTGTAGAGTGACATCAAGTCTGATGTAAACTCTCCTATTCTGTCGAGAGCTTTAATCATTTCGGATTTTGAGTCCACGAGGTTGGTGATTCTGAAGTGGTAGGTTCCTTCTTCTTGCCCGAATCCTGATCCAGGAACTATCATGATTCCTGTCTTGTCTAGAATCTCCAGTCAATATCTATTTTAATTAGGATTGATTGTTACTTGAGATCTGGAGATAATCCTTCTTGATGTGCTAAGTCACAGTAAGATTGAGGCAACTTGATCTGAGGAAAAGCATACATGGCTCCTTCGATCTCGTTACATGTGATCCCTTGAATACTGTTCAATTTTTCTGTAATCAGATTGGCTCTGTATTTTAGGCCATCGTGAATATGCTGTTCTTGTGTTTGATAAAGATCAAAGACTTCTTTAGAAACTGTATCTTTTGTGGGAGGATTAGCCTATATCTTAAAATTAAAAGTATACCATTAATCCAACTCCAATTTGCCCAATTATATTTCCTCATGATGCTACTGCTTTAAATTTATATATCGCTAAGTTGACAACACTATCAATATTGTGAAGTTCCAAGAAACCTCCTCTGAGGCCACACTCTCCATGAAGCCCCTTCGATAATGAATGAAATGAAGCAAGTTCTACATCATTGTCATATGGACTACCAAGCTCTTTAATAGCTTTTCTGACTGAGCAAAACTCCTTATCTACATAGATATTTCTTTGGTAAACTTCATCTGCCAGCAAGAAGATTTGCTTGTCATGGGCAAACTGAATCACTCTGTTCAAGTCTTCTTGTGCGAGAACTTGCCCTGTAGGATTACCTGGGTTAATGACCACCATTGATCTTACGTTGATTCCTTTATCAGTGGCTTCAGCATAAGATCTCTCGAGCTCTTCGAAGGACATCCCCCATCCTTTACTTTCATCTAGATAATAAGGAACTTGGGTTCCTTCAAACTTAGTAATGAGTGCTGAATACATAGGATATTGAGGAATTGGGATCATTATACCATCATTCTCATCTTTAATCAAGAGGTTTAACATGAATGTGATTCCCTCAGTTGCTCCATTAGTAAGAAAGATATTATTCTCGTCTACGTTAACTCCATCCCGCTTTTCGATAAAGGATTTGACTTCCCTCATAATTCACCTAACCCCTTGGATATCTGTATATGCTCCAATTGCCCGATGTTTGAAATGGCTTAAATAGTATTCAGCTCTATCTACTGCATCAGATGAGAAGATCATCCTGCTTCCCTCAATATCATTTGTTAAGCATGAAGCTAATACTTCTCTATTGAAACTGATAGGTTTTTGGCCCAAATTTTGAGGATTTCCAATATTTAGCTGGATAATCTTCTCGAATGGGAACTTGACTTCATCTTCCATCTGTCTCTGCATCTTCAATGCTTTCTCAGCAATGGCACCTCTCACAGCATATTCAGAGCGGATAATTGAAGAAGGAATAGTATCTTTGTTAAGACTTGCCTTGTAAGTTCTAAAATATTAAACTTTACTCTAATATCTAGCACCTCTTGTTCTCACATTCTCAATTTAGCAATACAGAAACAGAAAGATAGGGCCAAAACTCACCTTGAGAAATATTTGATTGATATCCTGCTTAACATTTTATTTATTTTGAACGATCTCTGATATTTTCAATTTAAAAGATATAAAAGGGGTTTTGGGGTTTTGGGGTTTTGGGG